TCTTGGTTCTCCCTGGGCACGGCTTTCTCAGCTCCTCATTCCATTTCCACTGGCCGGCACTTGCCCCAGCTGGGGTTGCAGCCGCAGCCTAGCAGAGCTGAGTTTCCTCCAGGTTTCCTTCCAAGTTCACCGCTTTTAACTGGCAAAGTCATGGTTTCTGCTCAGCTTCCACTCATTCCATGGAGTTCATGTCCTCGGGCTACAAAGCAGCTGGTTTTCAGACTGGCTGCGGTGGGGGGGAGAGGAGAGTTGGGGAGCTCCAGGCAGGAAGCTACAGACTCCACTGATTCTTACCTGAAGCTCTAGAGTCTAGATGGTTTTAAAAAATCAACCATTTTCCATTTCTTGTCTTTCACCATTTTGGTTACATACTTGTTTTTTTTTTTTTTTGCAGGGAGGATTGGCTGACCTCTTCACTCTACCATAGCCAGATGTCCATCGGTCCTAATACCCTTTTGTTTATTCCTGAATGATTGAAATATTTGAAACCCCACAAATAAAGGATAAAGGCATAAGTAAAATTACTTCCAGGGAAAGCTAATGTTTCAAGGGAAAAAATTAATAGTGAAAACACTTTAAAAAATGGAAATCCATTCCTTAAGTAGCAACTCTACGGAGAACTGATTTCAACCATTAGTACTTTTCAACACGGGAGCGACAGTTGGCGAGTGTGATCCTAAAGAGTGCCACGGGTTGAATGCATACATCTAGTGAGCCTGCATGTGCGAGGCATGCCAAATACTTTAGGGAGATGACTTTGAAATAATTCCAAAAATGTTCAAAGACTACACATTCCATATATGTTTTCAAAGATAAAAAATTACCTCATTAGTCTAGAATGTGTAACTTTATCACCATCACCCCATTTTTTATTAATGGAGAGGGCCTGGAACTGCCTTTTAGACAGAAATGAATGTGTTAACTCACAGATGACACCGTGGTGCTTTAAATATGCTTAAACGGACAGAGCTGCTTGGAAACCTAAAACAAAGCTATGTTACTTTGCTTCCAATTCTTTTCTTTAAAAGAAATGCTTCCCTCCACCATCTGGAATGGGCCTTGCCCTTTGGGAAATGAATTCATTCAAGAATATACATTGACTCATCACTGTTAGAGGAAAACTTCTCACAGTATAAGTCCTTCCACATTGAAATGCCTTACATTCTACAAAAAAGCATTACATTTTTAACAGCCCAAGGAAAACTAGGAAACAACTTCACCAAACTCTTCCATTAAGTTCACAAATATTTTCAATCACTGAGATTTAACTTCTGAGGGTCAGAAATAGTTCACTGAAGACCAAGAATGTTAGAGCTGAAAAGAGGAGTAACTCGTGTAAAAACAGCCACAGCTGAAAATGATCACAGTTAAAATATCATCATAGTGCGAATTATTAATTTCTTAACCCAAGAAGGGCTTAACATTTGATGCACAGTAGTAGCCAAGGCAGAAAACAAACTAAGGGGTCAAACATTTGCCTTAAGCGATCCATTTATTAACATTCTTGAATTTTTTCTTTATCTCCAAAAGAAATATTGGTGTATTTATAAAGGATTCTTAATTTGTTGGATGTATTAAATTATGACAATAACATGCTGTACAACCTCCCATCATATCATATCCTATATTCACATGACCTAAGCCCCAAGGACAGGAAAACACGTTCAGGTTAGTAACATTTGTGTTCCATTAGAACTGGTTGGGGCAGGACCGCTGGATGTTGCTTTGCTAGCTCGCTTCCCCCTAGGGTGCTCAAATGTTACGTCTTCTAACCACCACACCCTCCTCCCATGTGCCTGCCAGGGCCAGCCCAGGGTTCCCCAACTCCTCACTGCTCTGGCAACGTGGACATGAGGCTCTCTCCCACTAGACTGAGTTTCTCAAGCCTCACACCCCTCATTTTTAGTCCATAAACCTCCCTGCCGATCCCACAGAAGAAAATTCCCACAACTACCCAAGTCCATTTGCTCTCTGCATCTCCCTCTCTTCCACTGCATCTCTGCCAACAAAGGAGTCTTTCCATCCAAGGCCGATGCCTCCGCTGTATTCCGGTGCTATCCGTTCCCTCTCAGGAACTCTTCTCTCCGTTCTCTCCATCCTGTAAGCATTTTACATGCTTAAGCCTCCCAACTTAAATCAATTCTCCCTCCACCCCATTCTCTTCTCTCCTCCCAGTGTCCTTTCCCCTTGACAAATGTAGTTTCTCAGAAGAGTCGCCTACAAACACTTCGCTTCAGTGGCTCACCACCTACTCAGCTCACTGAAGACTGGCGTTTCCTCCCACCGTTCCACCAGCACTGGGTCAGATCCAACAACGCGCTGATCCCAGGATCCAGTGCAGTCTTTTCAAGCTTCTCTCACCAGAGCAGCAAGCACTCCACACTCCCACCTCTCCCACCTTCTTGAAATAATTCTTGGCTTTGGCAATACCCCCACACCTGACATGCTTACCCCCTTTTTGGCAATAATAATCTCGAGTTCTGACATCTGTATAGAATTAGATTTTGTAAAGCATTTCCACAGTGGCACATTTATCACTTAATAAATACTATGAATGAATGCATCATTTGATGTTTACAACCCCATAAGCTTACTACACAGGTTATTTGAGATGACAAAAATCAATTCCATCAAAGTAATGCTGTTAAAAGTCAAAAGAAGCCACCTCCCAACTTAAAAACCTATGATCCTTACAATGCACGAACAGTTAAAAATATTCAAATTCCACATCTCAGAAAAACGAAGACAGGATTGACTGATCATCTTGCAGAAACATGAAGGCCGGATGATGCATAATATCCCCTCTGAACAGGCTGGCTAAAACCTCTCAGATCCCCTTTTCATCCGTTATCTTACGGTAAGCCTCTATAAAACTTCATACTTAACATTTCCAAGGCTCAAATGGTATGCTCACAGCAGACATCCGGCGAGCACTTGAAGACATTAACTTCAGTAGTTGATCAACGGCTGCTATAAACAACATGTGTAAGTCATTTTTCCCCCTTCTAAAGAAAAAGTCAGCAGCTGTTTGCTAAAAACTTTTTTTTTTTTCTTTTTTTTTTTTATTGTGGATGAAGACATCGCCAACTCACATATATCATTTTTATTTGGAGTATTTTTTTGCTTTGCAGTGCTCCTGAGAAATTCAGAAATGCATTGACTTAAGTTTTATAAAATACAACCCAATACTATAGTTGGGTTATAAATTTCCCCCATTTAGTTATTTCCCTAAAAATCAAGACAATTTATCAATTTTAAGTACAGAAACCTAATAAGTTAAAAAGTAAACACTGGCAAATAATCACAAATGTCAGAACATTAAAAGTGTCTTTACTTTTTCCATAGGAATATATAAAATAAATATCAAGTATAACTGACTTGATATTTACAAAATTAAATTTCTTGATGGAAGACGCTTTAAATACTTTGATATATAAAAAACTTCATTAGCTTTATAAATCAAATTCAAATGCTCTGAGTTTGATACATAATAACTTTCTCTAAGTATTCTCATCCCACCCCTGTCCCTGAGGACACTTTTATATTTTCCACCTAATGTTAAAATAAGTTATTTTGAGAACGTTTTTCTCACTTTTGATAAACCACTGAATGGTTAAAATAAACTGGAGGCTTTATTTGAGGGGATATTTAATATTTTAAGTGGCTTATTTTAAGGAATTAAATTCTTTCCCCTACTTTTTTTCTCTTAAATAAATAATGGCAGGAAACTAAAATTCAAACAGCCATATGATACAGAATTGTACTAAATCAAATTCAATGTCTGGCTGGATTTTCTATTATAGTATTAACAGTTGAAAACCATTAGGAATGTTGTGAAAAACTGTGGCAGCTAAAGCAAAATTCAACCACAAATCCTAGTAAGTTTGCAGAAAAGTAAACAGTAAAATTACTGTCGTTAAACTACTGCAGTAAATTATTGTTAGAAATGTCCTATTGCTGACATTAGAATTATATGCCTCATCATTGTATGGCTGGTTACTAAGAAGATTCCTTGAGCAGATGGTTCATCTCTGACACAACTTAGTTTCAGGAAAGTAGATGAGTTATGTCTGGTTTAGATCAACAAACACTTAGTATGCATACCAGTCAGCTATAGTTTCAATGATGATACGACTGAAACATTAGGTACTACAGCTTCAGGTCACATAATTAAATAGCAGCCATGTAAGGTCATGCTGTATGCCCATAACAGCTTTCAAACTCATGTTAAACTATGGGGTGAAGGGAGATAGGCTGTTTTGAATCGGGAAGGAAATACTTAAGATGTCATAAAAGGCATTTAAAATATGATGACATGCTACTTAAATACCCACTACTTAAATTTTAATTTTCAAATTATAGGAGAAAAACTCTTTGCATTTTCTATTTCTTCAAAATAAAGGATCATGTCTTTTCTTTTTTTTAACTTAGAAATTTTTATTTCAGATGCTCCACACTGAAATGAAACTTCAATGGCAAGCAGCAAATAATTTAGGCCGGTCAGTGAAAGTACGTTTGAAAGGATCCCAAGGGTAATAATTTTATAAGAGAAATAATGGGCAAAGCAGACAGGAGGCAGTTTGGCAGTTCTAATATAGAACTGGATGGCCACTCCTTAAGTACCCTAAATAAAGAATGGCAATATAAATAAGTTAGCTAAGGAGAGGGGACGTAGTGAAGCAGCAATGTCTCAGTTACTGAATTTCTCAGAAAAACCAGTTTCACCCATCAGTACATAAAGACTTCCAATCTTCTAAATACAGTAGGAAGTATACAGTTAATCACAGCAAAATTTACAAATGATCAAATTTAGCCCTGGCCAGAGCCAGAACTATTTACATATTTGGATTAATATCATTTCCACCTTTCCTTGTTATACAGATGTTTCTATTTTAAAGGCATACTGAAATTTACAAAATTTGCAAAAAAAGGTCTTTAAATATACAACTTCAACAACTAATACAAACATGAACATTCTGATTAAGTTCCAAGCCAGGATTTGACAGGATTATAAAAAATTAAAGAAATACTCCCTTATTCTTAAGTTCCAAACACCAGGTGCTGGTGTTGCTGAAGTAATTCCACTACCCTTGATGACCATGAAGATGTGAGTGGACAACTCCTGGACTGACATACGGTACCTCTCACATGGACAGCTCAGACAGAGGAAGGAGGGGCCGTGTTTGGTGATATTACTAATTATAGTTCCGTAAATGCACCTGTATGATTTAACACTTACATGACAGTTGTGTGTATAGGTGTGAAAAAACAAGTACTGGTAGTTTTAAGATAACTTTAAAAAGATAACTTAGCTCTTAGAACCAAATCATATACCCATAGTATGCACTTGACAATAAAAAGAGAAAGGCCGATACATGCAATAATTTGGATAGATTTCGAAGGGCATTATACTGAGTGAAAAAAGTCAATCTCAAAAAAGGTTACATCGTATAGGATTCCATTTACATAGCACTCTACAGAATGGGAGAACAGTGAGTGGTTGCCACAGGTTAAGGGAGGGGCTAAGGAAGGAGGTGGCTATGACCGTAAAAGGGCAACACGGGGGGTTCTCGGTGTATCTTTTCTGTAGGGGAGGTCACATGGATTTACACATGTGATAACGGTGCATAGAACAAAATACACACATTCCCCCTCAGGACACCTATGTCCTCCCAGGGGCAACCTTGCTCTTGTCCTGTCTACACCAAGTCCTCTATACAGATGATTACCATGTAATCATCTTATAAATTTTCTGCATGATGCAGTGAAGCCATAGCTATCTATTACTTCTTCTTCCTTCTCTTTTCTTTTTTTTTTGGGGGGGGGAAGGTGTAAATCTCATGATTATCTTTAAAAGACAACCACATATCTCGACTAGCCTAAATTAACTTGAAAATCAGAGAAGAAAATTAAAAGCTGACATATAGCTACTTTTATTTTACTTACTTCTGTAAGTTAAGATTAAAAAAATCAAATGTTTCTAGCCTGAATTAGGTTAAATTAGAGAAGGGAAAAAATATATAACAAACACTTCCTCCTGTGACACCTGTAATTTCTAAAAACAATAAGAATATGTTTTATTAAATTTAAAGAAAGTACAACTGCAAACAAATACATGACTTTTTCCAAAAGGCCACTTCGTGATTAAGTACCTACGTTTAGTGTTTCTCTAAAGTGCTGTGCATGTCGTCTCTGGCTTGAGAGTCATCTATTGATTCAAAAGGTCCTTCAACACAACCCCGGCACTGTTGTCAGGCGACACTGGCAAAGGCGTAAACGTGGGCAGCACATCTGAGATGGGTTTCAAAAGGAGGTGCCCAGGCCCACCAGGTCCAAGTCCAGCCGGGTTCATGAGAGGCACAGCTGCAGAGCGGGGAGCCAAGAACGGACTCACATCTGTTCTTCTCCCAGACCTGGGTTCTGTCGTATCTGAATGACAAAATGTGAATTATTTAGTCTCCTATATGTCATTTATTCAGCACTATACAAGTGTTTTAGATTCCAAGATTTGAACCCTAAGTAAATTTAATTCATATGCTGCTGGGTCCTGGATCCAATGCACAGGGTCTATGAAATAAAGAAGGATGAGAGAAAGAAATGGGAGAGAGGAAACAGGACAGAAGGATGTTTTTGAATGTGTAACTAATACTTCATTAAACTCATTAATGTTGTCATTTTATATTTAAATACAAGTTACATAACTGATAAACTTAATTTACTACTGAAGGGGAACAAAGTTTTGCCTCTTAGGACATTGATTTCTAAGCGGCAATTGATTCAGAAAGGAACTTTGAGCCTCCCCCTTCCCTGCCCTGGAGATTTGGAGGGAGAGGGGGCCCCAGCAGGGGGTCTCGGGAAGCTGGACTGTGTGGTAACAGGAGGACTTGGGCAGGGCCTGCTGGCTAGATGCCCACCATGTCCCAATGTACCCGATTGCTGAGCAAGGGTTTTCCTGCCACGGGCGCTCTGGTCTTCCTCAACTACCTGCCCATTCTCACTTCTGACAACCCAGAACCCTGCCCGAACCCGCTTTCTCTGCTGTCCAAAACTTCATATGTATCCAATGCTGCCTGTCTTTGGAATTCTCATGTGTATGTGTGCACCCTTCCCATGTACATATATTAAAAATTTGATTTTCTATTATTTTGTCTGTTAATTTATTAGTCCAGATAAAAGAACTCAGAAGGTGGGAAGAAAAGTATTTTTTTAGCTCCCACACTACAACAAATCCAGGATCAAAAACTAAACTGATCCTGCAACTCCTGGAGCAATCAGAACATCAGGGGCTTTGGAGTCTGATTAGTACAAATCAGCTGGTGCAGGACTTGTAACAGAATGGAGGAGAGGAGGAAGAGGGAGAGGGAGAAGAGACCGAGGGGAGAAGGGGTAAAAGAGAGGGAGAGCCTGCCATAATGAATTTTGGAATCCTCTTTAAGATGTTATAACCTAGTGTAACAAGAAAAAGTATTTTTAGTCTACGTCTGTTAAAATTAAGACTTTTCACTAAATTTGGCAGTCAAAACTTTTATCTGAACAAATAAATTTTACTACTTCCTCTTTCTCTCTAAAAGTTGAAGAAAATATAGCTATTTGTCTAAATGACTAAGCAAGTTTTAAAATTTTCAATATATAAATTATTTAATATCTTATTCAAAATGTAGAATCTGACGTGATATAATTATAACATACTATAGAAGCCCGGTGCATGAAATTTGTGCATGAGGGAGGGGGTCCTTCAGTCTGGCCTGCACCCTCTTGCAATCCAGGCCCTCAGGGGATGTCCGACTGCCTGATCACCCCTAACCACTCTGCCTGCCTGCCTGATTGCCCCTAACCGCCTCTGCCTCGACTCCCGCCACTGCGACTTCATACAGAAGGATATCCAGAAGGTCATTCAGCTGTCTGGTTTAATTAGCATTATTACGCTTTTATTATTATAGATATGTACCTTTACAGTTCCACTAGCAAACACGTTAGTTTGAATTAAAATATAAAGATTTCAGGGGGGAAAAGAGACCTTACGATAAATAATCTTTTTGTAGTTTAGAGGATATATTTAAATTTCAACTCAAGAAATTTTACTGCATGCTAATATAGGAGATATGAATATAAATAAGACCCTTATAAATTAGTGGAATAAAAAATTATGTACACAGCCTTGGCCAGTTTGGCTAGGTGGTTAGTGTCAGCCAATGGACCAAAGAACTGCAGATTCAATTCCTGGTCAAGGTCACATACCTCAGCTGCAAGCTCTATCCCTGGGGCCCTGCAGGGGGCAACCAATTGATGTCTGTGTCTGTCTGTCTGTCTGTCTCTCTCTCCCCCCCAACCCTGTCCTGTTCTTCCCTTTCATTCTCTCTGAAAATCAATGGAAAAAATATCCTCAGACAAGGATTTAGATAGATATATATATAACACATACTGTGGTACCACCAAACTATTTGCTTCCAGGCACATCTTTCATTATATAAGAATGCTTCCTAACATTCTTGGATATCTAAGCCAGTTTATTAAACTTATACTCTTATAAATATTATTAACATACCAAGGTTGGGGTACTGAGCATAACAGATTTTCACAGGGGAAAAAATATGTCTCTAACTGTAAACTACACTTCTCTGATTAGAAATAAGTACCATGAGTGCGAAAGGAAAACAGGTGCCCAAACAAAGGCTTACCATTTAATCACCTTTTCCAAGAAGAATAATTCACAGTGGCTTATGCAGAGAAAACAATGATACCAATATTCAAATGAAAAATAGTACATATTTTTTAAATTAATCTAAGCCAATTAAATATCAGGTTACCACAAGAATATATGAAACCAAAATATAATGCCTTATTGGAATTTTAGAAGAAATCACTGCACATTTTCAAAAACATTAAAAACTTAGTTAATACTGCTGTAAAACATCAAAACTTAAACATTTCATTTCTTAAATTGAGTAAGTAAATATCTGGTTTTACCTTTAAAACTTTCCGGTATATTTATATCTATTTTTCTCCTTCTTGGTGAGTCTAAAGGTTTCATATCATGAACAGAAAGCTTTGGTGGTGGAATAGACGGATGAGATTCTGTTTCTAGAAATTTAACGAAAAGTTCTGAAAAAGACTAAAAAAATAAAAAATATTTTAGTCATATTAGGCCAATATTAAAACTGTATTCGCTACAACTCAGAAAATATACCAGTATTCTAATTATTATAAATATTAAAAACTAATCATGCCATCTGAATCATCTCTATCTATCTATCTATCTATCTATCTATCTATCATCTATCTATCTAATAGCCTAAGTGACTAGCCAACCGGCTGGTAGCTATGCTGCACAATGATTATAAGGGGGCCGATGCTCAATGCAGAAGATGCTGAGCGACAGCAACTTTGCAGAGGGCCCTCTCGCATTCTGGGAACCCTAGGGGGAATGTCGGACTGCCGGGTTTGGCCCTATCTCCAAAAGCCAGGCCGAGGTACCCCATCTGCCAGAGGGACCCCGCTCACTCCCCTGATGCCTTTCAAGCCTCAGAGCCACTCCAAGAGCAGACAGCCAGGGAGGGACTGCGGGAGGTTCGCTCCAGGGCGTGTCCGACCCATCTTACGCAGTCCCACCCCACCGACCACCTTCTAATTAATTTCCTTTCAATGTGCACAAATCCATGCACTGGGCCTCTAGTTTCTTTATAAGCTTTATGAATAATTAAAACGCTAGCACTTTTAACCCCCTGGCAATGAGCAAGGAGACACTTGATTGGTGGTATTGCTCTTATATCGATCAGGGGCAAGGCAGATGTACAGTCCTTAGTTCATCCTAGCTTGATGCCTGTATCAGTGGCCAGAACTGTTTCATGCCTGAGGCTCATAAAATTATAATTCCTAGTTCTTGGAGGGGAAAAGATTTAAAAAAAAACTGGTCTCATAACAAGTAGATTATTAATATTAATTGAGGCTTAGGAGGGAATGTAGATTTAAAATGTTTGTGGAGCCGAGACCGGTTTGGCTCAATAGATAGAGCGTCGGCTTGGGGATTGAAAGGTCCCAGGTTCAATTCCGGTCAAGGGCATGTACCTTGGTTGCGGGCATATCCCCAGTAGGGGGTGTGCAAGAGGCAGTTGGTAGGTGTTTCTCTCTCATCGACGTTTCTAGCTCTCTATCTCTCTCCCTTCCTCTCTGTACAAAATCAATAAAATATATTTTTTTAAAAATGTCTGTGGAGACATTGTAATTAGTCTAGTAACTTCCAGATAATAGTAAGTAGATAGTTCTAGCACAACTCCATTAAGAGTGAACATGTCACTTAACAGTTTTTGTGGCAGTTGTGCAAATGGATATATGTCATTCTGCACATAAAACTGGATGCTATGAGAATAATAAGTGGATCACTATTGACTTAGTGAAAGTTGGGTGGAGGTTTAGTATGGTAATATTGTAATTATTTCAGAGGGCGGTTACTGTGAATCATATATTCCCAGGAGCCAGAATGTGTTCAAATCCTGAGTCTCTGCCATTTAACTGTCAGTGTAGCCTTAGATGCATTTAAGCGGCCTGCTTCTCACCTGAAAAGTGAGTTTCAGTGATGGTGCATATGAGTTGTTGGGAAAAATAAAACACGAGAAGTACTTAAAATGGGGCCTGGCATTGGTAGCCAATAACATATACCTGAGCAATTATCTTCTCCTGGGTTCAGGAAAAAAAATGCTAGCACTTCGGTGACAGAGGTATCAAGTAAAAACTTTAACATAATAATTTCTGATGACAACACTTCACGAACCTATGGTTAAAATTAGTCACCTGTTAACACTTAAATTTCTTAAATAATTTCAATAACTTTACATACACAGGCAAACTTGTATTGACAGAAAACAAATATTAAACTCATTCTTCTAAAGTAATACACAATCAGTGAATATACAAAAGCTCACCAGTAACTTTATTAGATTAAAATCATGCAGTGTAGACCTTTCCTTTAAACTTTAGGCCACCCCATTTAAAACAGGGTTTTATCTTTATCAAGTTGTGGGTAGATCACCTATCCTGTTTCTCTTCATTAAAAAGAAAAGAGAGAGAGAAATAAACTCCACATTCTATCTCACAGTGTTAGGCCATTCAATCAGCCCACTATGTAACAGGCACTATTTTTCGTGTTTATTAACTACCTGCCTCCTCCAACAAGAGGAAGTTCGGTGAGGGAGGCACTGTATCTGGTGTGCTGCTGCATGCCCAATGCTTAGCATTCTCAATGCTTACAATAGTTGGGTACACAGCAGGTGCTCAATAAGTACTCATTGACTCAATGACTAAGTAAAATCTCATAATTTAGTAGTAAGACAAATGACTGTATGCTTATAGCACTATGATTAAATACAAATAAAGGAATAATACTATGAAAAATAAAAGTGCTATGTAAATAAGATATTAAAATAAAACCTATATGTAGTAAACTTATTATACCTGGCTTATTATCCTTAAGCTAGTTACATCTCTGGATCTAAGTTTCTAGAACTTCAAAATAAAAGGGCTGTATAAAATCACCTAAAAGAGAAATCTGATTCTTGCCAGTGAATGTGATGTACTATCATTTGACTATTTATGTTCAGCAAAAGTAAAGTCAGCTCTTACACTATTAAACATAGATTGCTGATTTGGTCTCAGAGGTGTGTTGGGGACACTTTTTGATCCTCCTCCAAGCCACCCAGTCATCCATCTGGTAACTCCGCCCTGATCTTCATTCAACAACTGAAAAATTATTTTAAAACAGAAAAGTGTTATCAGTACAAGAAAAGAAAAAATAACCATATTTCAAATCCAATTCTTAGCAATTCTTAGTGAGAGAGGCTACAAATACAATGAAATCTGGAATAAAAGTTGAGAACTATCAAAATTTCAGGAGAAGAGGGGTGGCATATAAGTTATAAAATATTTCAACTGAATTATACAAATTGCACAAGTCCACACCTTTACTGTAGTATGAAATTATTCCATTTTCAAATTATTGAGAAAATTGTATTCAGGAAAAGTTATATAATATACAGTAAAAGAAAACTTTATATGATGCCACTACTTTAGTTAGAATTGTATTCAGAAAGACTTCTATTATCCAGTTACCTGTTCCATATCCTCCCTTTTGATACCCAGAATGCTTCCCATTAATCTTAACACTTCATGACGCTGGTTCTTTGGTGTGTGGAAATGTCCAATGAAGAGGTTTCTCATTAGGATTCTATGAAAATGAAGGCAGAAACAGCTCAAGGTAACTCTACAAGCTCTCCCCAATATTTAGTGTACCGAAATAATATGTGCTAAGCATATAAATAGACTTAAATAATACTTAATTATAAAAAGCATTACCCATATTTTCTGGCGTATAAGACGACCCCTAATTTTACAGTTAAAACATAGGTTTAGGCCTATATTCGCTGTATAAGACTACCCCCCACTTCAAAGAAAAGACTTACTTTGCCATCAAGATCTGCAGGTAATTTTTGTGCAATTTTGTTTTTTTGCCCCCAATTTTCAGTTGACTTTTTCCCGTCTTATACGCCGGAAAATGCGGTAAGCATATTTTAAAGTAACATTTAAAAAATTTTGATGTGCCCAATTAAGAATATTTCAAAGAACCCAAAATTATACCCAGAAAACATAACTTATTATGAAACCACTTCCTTCAACAAATCAATCAACTGAGATGGTGACCATTAGTAATACTCAGTGCCTCGCTGCATTGATGTCAACCTTAAGAAGACACTTCAAATTTTCCCACCCCACCTTAAATGGTGATGACAGTTCACATGCTTCATGGCTATGTTTATATTTCCCCATTCACACTTATTAAAAATTTGCTAATAATATGGAAATATTTAAAATTTTAATGATATACTACATATATACTTAGATTTGAGATCTAATACATTTGAGCAAAATATGCTCATTTAAGAACAGTAAAAAGAGCAAAAAAGCCCTGACCGGTGTGGCTCAGAGTGTCGTCCCATGCACCAAAAGATTGCATGAGACGATTTTTAGTCAGGGCATATGCTCAGGTTTCAGGCTCAATCCCCAGGAGAGGGTGTGCAGGAGGCAGCTATCAATGTTTCTCTTTCTCTCTTCCTCTCCCTTCCTCTATTTAAAAGAATGGTAAGAATAAACTTTTTATTTTCTAAGTATGGTATTGTTTTAACTTTTCCATATAGTTTTAAGAAAAAGAATTTGAGCTGGAAAAATCCATTTAAAAGCCAAGAGAAGTCCAGTCAGCATGGCTCAGTGGTTGAGCATTAACCTATGAACCAGGAAGTCATGGTTTGATTCATGGTCAGAGCACATGCCCAGGGTACACTCTCAATCCCCGGTGAGAGGCATGCAGGAGGCAGCCAATTGATGTTTCTCATTGATATTTCTATCTCTCTCTCTTAAATCAATAAAAACATATCCTAAGAAAAATAAATAAAAGCCAAAAGAAAAAAAACTACTTTACTGTCTCATTAAAACTACATATATCTCATCATTGTATAAGAAAAAGAAGATTTTTTTAAAAACCCAATCCTATCTAATAAAGAGGGAATATGTAAATTGATGCCACAAAGATGGTGGCGCCCAAAGCCACAAGATGGCGGCACCCAATCCTTTCAGCCCTGCCAGAGGGAGTGCGGTGTGGCCGGACCTGCCCTCAGTCCCCCAGCCGCCCAGGGCTGGCCCAAGGCAGAGGCAAGCCTGGGATGTCAGCTGCCCAGCCACCCAGGACCGCCCAAGGCTCAGGTAAACCAGGGCAGGCTGAGGTTTGTGCTGCGGATTGTGCTGCCAGCAGTGGGGGTGTCACCTTCCCTGCTGCCGCCTTCCCCTGATTGTCGGGTCACCTCCCACCCGAGGGCTCCCGGACTGTGAGAAGGGACAGGCCAGGCTGAGGGACATGGTCAGAGCACTGAGCCTCTAGTTACATATACACATCTACATGCAGAAGTTTTACCATAAAAGGAGTCTTCATAAAATACATAAAAGTAAAAAGAAAGAGCATACTTGTCTACTTTTCCTTCTGTGCTGTTTACTAAGTTCATCAATTTTTTTTGTACATCATCCAGCATTTCTTGTCGGAGCTCATCTGTTTTAAAACATGAATAAAGATAGTCATTAAGTGATTAAAACAATCTGGGTGAATATGTAATGAGATTTAGGACATCTTTGCTGTGAATTCTGAATGTACGTACTTATTCAAATTGGGACTATTCAATGACTTCCACTTCATCTCTTCTTTGGTTTAGTGGGTTAGGTTTGCTGGTACAGAATCTACCTGGAAGCTAGGGTATGAATTTATTCACACAGTTTACCCCCAATAAAATAATCAATTCTTTAGCAGAAAATATAAAAATCAAAGAAAACGATTTTCCTTCGCTTCGGAAGCTTAATAGCAAAGAAGAGATTCCCCTCACTGCTTCCTTGCAGGAAACATTTCCAAGCCCTCATTAATGGGAAGAAGTGGAAAGGACAATTTTAGATTTTCCTTTTTCCATTTTCCTGGCTAGACTCTACTTTTCACGAGCTACAAAAAGTATCTAACAAAACTAAGGCCACAGCTCTGGATGTAGCTCATAGGGCAAATTCTGGGGTTAAAAAAATTGCAAAATACAATTCATATCACTGGTTCTAACATAGTAATCAAGATACTATAATTTATGACTGACTCAGAAGGATGTTTGGACTCTTTTATTTTCAAATTCTTACTTTAAAAGAAAGCAGAATCTGTAAAATGTTGGTGGAATAGTTCAAATTTGAGCAGTATTAAAAGCAAAGTCTAGAATTTCAACAGGAAACAATACTCTGTTCATAAATCCAACCATGCCATAGGGCCAAGAATTCCTAGACTAAGGAACTCTCAGCCAAACCCATGGAGTTTTCACCTATTACCTCAGAAATGAACAGTCTGAGCTGAAGGAGATGCTTATTAACCTCAAGCTACATTATACATTTCATTCCGAAAGAAATGAAGACTGCTCTGCCTCAGAGCTCCATTTTTCAAAGTAAGAGACACATCCACACACTACACTCTGACCTCTTTCCACAAACCTACTCTGACTTCTGCTGCATTTTCCTAGTAGTAGCTGGATACAAGTTCCCTTACGAGAGATACGACTTGCAAATATTTTCTCCCCCTCTGTGGGCTGTCTTGTCATTTCACTTTCTTTCTTTTCTTTTCAATATTTTTTTAATTTAATTAATTAATTTATTTATTTTTACATATTTTATTGATTTTTCCCCCTCCCTCCCTCCCACACATCCCCTCCCTCCCCAGAGCTTTATGTCCATTGGTTGTACTTATATGCATGTATACAAGTCCTTCATTTCACTTTCTTGATGGTGTCTTGAAGTACAAAAGTTTTTAGTTTTGCTGAACTCCCAATTTTTTTTTTTTGTTGCTTGTGCTTTCCATGTCAGAGTGAAGAAACTGTTGCCTGACTCAGTGTCGCAAAGATTTAGTAGTTTTTTTTCCTAAGACTTTCACAGTTTTAACTCTAAAATGTATGTCTATGACCCATTTTGAGTTATTTTTGTGCATGGTGTAAGGTAGTTGTCCAACTTTGTTCTTATGTATGTGGAAATCCAGTTGTCCTGGTACCATACGTTGAAAACTATTATTTTGGCACTCCTGTTGAAAATTTATTGACTATAAAAGTATGGTTATAGACCAGGAGGTCACAGTTCGAGTCCTAGTCAGGGCACATATGCCCAGGCCCAGGCCCGGGCTCAGGCTCTATCTTCAGTGTGGAATGTGCAAGAGGCAGCCAATCAACGATCCTCTCTCATCACTGATGTTTTTATCTCGCTTCCTCTCTGAAATCAGTAACATACATATAAAGTATGGCTAATTCTGACTTTTAACGCCCACTGCAAGACTTCTGTACATGCTCTTTTGTCTGCCTGAAAAGCTCTCTCCATTGGCACTACCTATTAACCCCCTAGCCGCCCTGCACATCTTAGTTCCTAGGTCGCTTCCTCAAACAAGTTTCCTCTGAACCTACAGATTGAGCCAAGTCCATTTTCTTTCCGTTTTTTTTTTGTGTGTGTTTTTTTTAATTTTATTTTTTTAATTTTTAATTTTTTTTAATATTCCATTGTCCAGGTGTTCCACAGTTTATCCATTCACCTACTGAAGGATATCTTTTTTTTTAATTATTTTTTTATTAAATTATCATCTGTGTACATATTTTACCATTGCTCCCCCCTCAACCCCATACATACCCACCCTTCCCAGAGTTTTGTGTCCATTGGTTGTACTTATATGCATGTATACAAGTCCTTCGGTTGATCTCTTATCTCTGCTTTCGGTTTTCATCTGTTAGGACAATGACTAAAATTCAGACTTACATATAGTACTAAATATATATAGAAAATATCCAGTTTAACTGTTTGCAATGCCTTATGGGTTTTCTAAATTGCCAAAATCTAAATTGCAAAATGTAATTCATATAATAGGCTAACTTTACCAAAATAGAGATGGTTGCCATAACCATATTATAAAAGTGAGGCTTGTGTTTGGAAAATTTATTATAGTTTTCTTTCTTTCCAGTAAGAAATTTAATCTTGGAGGGGATGAGAGAGAGAGAGAGAGAGAGAGAGAGAGAGAGAGAGAGAGGGAGGGAGGGAGGGGGCGAGAGAGAGAGAGAGAGAGAGAGAGAGAGAGAGAGAGAGAGAGAGCGAGCGCGCACACGCGCGAGCGCACAAGACTGCTATTAAAGTTGGAGCCAGTAAAGACATTTTAGATTATTAATGTGCACATATATACTATGAACACATGGTGTTCTTTGGGCTTTTCTAGTACTACATTCTGAATATAAATAGAACTCTCAACTAGTCAGAGGTAAAATAGCAAGTAACTTAACCATTGTGAATTAACCATTCCGCTCACGAGCTAAAGTCAGACCAGAGTCAAGATAGGCACAGTCTTTGCTTTCTCTCCTTCCCAAGGTGAAGAGAGACAGTAGAGAAAAGATCAAACTTCTCCTGACCCTACCCTTCCTTCCTCTCCAGGATTCCCTTCTCCTATCTACTTTCTTTTAATATTTAATAAGTTTTATATTGATTACATATCAAAATGATATTCCTGACATATTGGGTTATATAAAATATAGTACTAAGCCGAAACCGGTTTGGCTCAGTGGTAGAGCGTCGGTCTGCGGACTGAAAGGTCCCGGGTTCGATTCCGGTCAGGGGCATGTACGTTGGCTGCGGGCACATCCCCAGTAGGGGGTGTGCAAGAGGCAGCTGGTCGATGTTTCTCTCATCGACGTTTCTAGCTCTCTATCTCTCTCCCTTCCTCTATGTAAAAAATCAATAAAATATATTTAAAAATATATATATATAGTACTAAAATTATCGTTTTAATGTGGTTACTAAGAAATTTAAAATTATACATGTGGCTTGCATTATTTTTGGACAGCACTGCTTTGGAGCATAACCAGGATATAACCACTATCCATACTGTATCTCATTTAAATAGAAACGATAAAACTGTATGATAGACATATTCAGAGTAAAATTCATAAAGCAAAGAGCTGATTCTGATAAAAATCATTTTACTAAGGTAAATTAGAAAAATATAACTTTGCTCTATGAAAAACTGATCAAGAAATTTTTCTTAAGAGTTTGTCAATATTTTCTTCTTAATGAAAATTCATTAATAGATATAAAATTGATAAAAGTAGGTGTTCTAAAATATAGGGTCAAAACGTCCTTAAGGCCAAAATATCAAGGTAAACATTTCTTACACTCACTATCAGAATCCAAGCTAGTCCTGAGCTAAAGTGACAGAGAACTGGTAATTGCACCTCCCTGTAGGCATGCGCAGGGCTGTTTCAAATCTAAGCAGTAGTTTAAATGTGTTCTGATATTTGAGTCCAGATAAAAACTTCAGAATTTGGGGGAAGAAGTTGGAAGGCTGGTATGAACTAGGAAAGGTTTAGAAAAGCAGAGACTTCAGGGTCCCTACAGACTGTCTTTCTCTCTAGGCATCCTGCTCTCCTCCCATCAGAGATTCTGAATATTTCTCCACAAAAACTGAACACTAATTCAAACCACAATTTGAAATCAGAACTGTATTTATATAGGCAGGCAAAACATGGTTATTCAGAAATGGGTTTTTAGCCAAATACAATATCCCCATGAAATAATCTAACATGCCAAAAAAATACTTTGAAATTTAAAAAGAGAGAGAGAAAGAGAAGACAGTAGATACTCTTTAAGGTTGAGCAATAGTCTAGTTTTAGTCTAAGATTTAATCTAGTTTAGGGGAGAATTACTCTGAAAAAATGACAACCTAAGACCTGCCACATCAGAGCCTCTTCTCCATAATGCCTAGAGATGGCACCAGGACCTTCACCACTTGACTTAATCAAAACTGAACACAAAATGCAATTGACTACAAAAGATTAGTACATCATAACTTTACATTTTACTTATTAGTAACACTGCACTGTAAAACCATCTTCAGAGAACATCATAAAATTAAGTCACGAAGTCATTTGGCTACTTCTTGACTAAGCTCTCTTGGACTAGACTTAAGTCAGTGTAAACAGTCACTTGACTTGAAAGAGAATGGTGGTTGGAGAAGGACTTGAGAATCAGACCTGCATATGAACTATGGTTCTGTCATAAGACTTGGGTATGAATCATGATTCTGTCACCAGGGTCAGTCTGTTGCCTATTTTATAAAAAGAGCATGTTTATCTCCAAGGATTTTTAGAGAGTCTGAGTGATTAAATGTGACTTTTCTAAACAGAAAAGTACTATATAAAGCATAAGTACTCATTCATCTGATTTCGTAAAATATCATCTCTCAATCTAGCCCTAAACAATATCAATAATATGTATCACTTTGGTTAACATTAACATTGTTATTTTCCCTCCATTTTGCCTTGTCATCTTTACAAACCAAGGCAAAGGAACCAAAAGAAGGAAGAAAAAATGTTAAAAAAAGATTATTCTACCTATGGATATTTCAGTAAATAAACTGGGTCTTGTGTCTTACTTGCACTAGTTACCTAAAAAAGAAATTTAAATTTAATAAATTAAAGCTGATATAAGAAAATTCACCTCTTCATTTAATTA